GGGAAAGACACAGGGAAAGCAAGGGATTGTGGCTCTCAAGCATTGTTCAGAATGGTGCTCCACAGCATTCCTGATCTTAACATGAATGTGCATGGACACTGCAGATTGGGACAGGGAAACTTTTCCAGGTCAGGGGCCGCTGACCCACAGGAAAATCAGTTGGGGGCCACACACAAGTGAGAAGCAAAGTGAGAAGCCCCTGACAGAGAAGGAGAAAGACACTCCCCACATTCCCCCTGCATACCAGAGCCTGGGGGGCCTAGGCCAGTAGATTTTGTGTGCTCCAGCCCTGTGGGTGAGTGGCAGGGAGGCTGAAGTGCCAGCACGGGTTCCCCAACATGGAGCCTCGGGGGCTGCCCCCATGCCTGAGGTTCCCCACCCCTGCTGTAGATCCATATGTGTACTGCTCCTTTTCATTTGATAGGATAGCTTGGTCAATGGATCACTGCATGCAGAGATATAAGGCTTGTCTACCTGGCACTAGCAAAGTGCACTAGTGGGGTTTGATTTGTAAGCTGCTCTAACATGTTACAGTTGGCTGGTGCACTCTGAAAGGTACCTAGTTTGTGTTCTGTTTCAAACAGGAGTACATTAATGCAAACAAGGTATCTTTTAGAACCAGCAAGATCAACATGAGGCAGACAGAATGTAGCACATAGGTGCACTTTACAGATCACAGCCCTCTGGTGTGCTTTGCTGGGCCATGTAGACAAGCTCTTGCAGTCTCTTTAGGCTATACCTCTGAATCATGGCACAAGTAGCAGCACTCTCAATATGGCTGAATAACAGTTTACTCCTGTTTATACTTATTCAGAACTTCTGCTGCTTACAGAATTTGAGTTGAAATGGCCTCATTCTCTGCTCAAAAGTTAATTTTTGGCAGAGACAGTTTGAGCAAAAACTACATGTATTTGGGCAAAGGCTGAGAAACTATTACAGTCTTAGCAGTTCTCATGCCAGTCATGGAGGGAGACTTATAAAGATAACTACTCCAGAAGGGAGATAAAATGGAAAGCCAAAATCCAGGCTTTGGGGCAAGAACTTCTTATATAAGGACAAGGGAATACCCCATACTGGAATCCTTTGACCCAGACAGAAGCATTTAACAGATCATGAATACACAAACAGAAATAAAAAGCAAGAAACAAAGCAGTTAATGTTTTATAAGGATTACAGTGTAAGTTTATAGATCTAGGTGAACTTCCAATCCTAATGTAGTACCAAAGAATGTATCTGGAGAGCATGTGGGACTTATAAAGACACACGGTCCTGCTAAGCTATGAACTAGATCCTGGCCAGTTTCAGAGACAGAAAAGTTTCATAAATCCAACCTGCTGGCATCTATTTAGAGGAAGATTCTGCCAAAGGAGTCTTATGGGGGACATTAAAGAAAAACAATCAAGACTAGACTAGACTGGTAGGATCTGAATTATACCTACACTGTAACAAGCACATGTGCATACTCCCTTTTTCTCCTTTCAGTTTGTTTTATCCTGACAATGTAACAGATTATTACACACTGCCATTTATCAAAGAAAAGTTTGAACCCAGCCTCTCAAAGATATGAGTTTAGAGTTAATGAGAGCCCATTTAGATAAGGAGAGCAATATAGTGTGGGATAGGAGGTGTGAAATACTTCAAACCCCATAAACTGCCCTCTATCACTAGCAGTGTTATCTGGCCCAGTGGGGCACCAGTGCTACAGACCCCTTCCTAATCAGAAGAAAATGCAGAGCTCTAGCAGAGGAGAGTGCTGGCATGGGGTCAGGAGAAGTTACACATCGTAAGGATGTGACAGTCCTACTTTAGTTTGTATTTGTCAGGATAATTGTGGCACTGTAAAATGTCTAAAATTTCTTAAGTGAGGGTCCAAGAATAATATTCCTGGACATTGCTCCTATGGATCACAGTGTGGTTCAACAAAGACCATCATTACGGACAAAAGGCTGCTTCTGAGTATGCCAGCTTCACAGAACTCTAGGGCTTAGTCCACTCTGGATCTGGATGGCCACTAGCAGGCTATCCCTTTCCTCGTTTCCATCCTTTGACTCTAATCTCTTAAGATAGTCTGTTTACCTTTTGGGATGTCATGCTCCAAAGAGTCCAGGAAGTCAATGGATGGGTCCAGGTCAGCCTTCTCCAGGAGTGTTCTGTTCTTCAGGTTAACAGGCTCAGTGAAGTGGAAATAGGAGTTTAATTTTTTTGCCTCGGTCAAAGACAGACCTATAGTACAAATAGTTAGCACAATACCTGATCAACTACTCATTATATCAAGATTTCTCTGCTCACTCATAGTCCAGAGACCCAAGCAGAACCACAGTCCTCCCTCCTCCTCTTCCCCTTTCTCCCCCCTCCCCTCCCCCGCTCCTCTTTTTTTTTTTTTGGTCCCATGATATCCACCAAAAAAATCAAACACTTGCTGGAAATGGACAACTTCACAGTGTGAAGGGAAATTTTGCAGACAGAGCAAATTGCAGTCCCAGATTAGCAATGGGTGCTGAATAAAACAAATGTCTTTGTGAACCCTGCATTCAGAGAGAGAATTTCTCTAGTACTGACAGCTATCAAACGCTGCTAGAAACTGCATGGACCATAGCATTAAGGAAACTGCTCAATAAGTTTACAGACACGGAGTCAAATCAAATCCATTGGTAATTTGGAGTTTTTCTCCTCCCATCTCTCAGATTTATGCACTCTATTAGGGTATATCTATACAGTAGGGCTAAACTTGAAATAAGCTACGCAACTTGAGCTATGCTAATTGCGTAGCTTAAGTCAAAATAGGTTATTTTGAATTTGGGAATGTCTACACAACACTTACTTCAAAATAGAGCACTTGTCCTCCAACTTCCCTTACTCCTTCTACAATGAGGGTTACAGGAGTCAGAGAAAGCAGTCTTCCAGCACAACCTTATTTAACATTATGTTGAAATAACTGATTGTGTGTAGATGCGGACTATGTTATTTTGAAATAATGTCTGTTATTCTGAAATAATGCTGCTGTGTAGATGTACTCTTAGTGATTCTGTTAGCAGTTCCATGAGCTGAAACAAAATCAAAGCAGCAGCAGCAGAAGAATCCCTATTCTCTGTTCAGCAAATGGGGGAGGGGAGATGGGGAAAAAACAAGTCAGGAACCATAATACTACCTAGATCAGCGATGGGCAACCAAGAATACTGAGTGGTCCGCATGAGTGGCCCTCCTTCATCTCAGTGGACCGCAGCAGCCTGCAGCCCATTCAAATTCCACCTGTGGCTCTGTGAACCCTTTGTCTGCCCCCCTCCCCATATGCCTCTCGCGCTCTGGGGGGCAGAGCCCCACACTACCTAGTTTTCTCCCTGCCTCCCAGCACTTTTGAAGCACTGAAAATTGTCTGATTTGTGCTCTGTCCCTGACCCTCCCACGCCCTTCCACAGCTTGAACAACTACAACTCAAGTAGGAAGTGCAAGGCTCCGGTGTAGGGGAGGGAGGTACACAGGTGGTCTGCAGGCAGCAGGTGGAGCCCCAGTAGGCTGCATGCAGGCTGCAGGTTGCCCACCACTGAGCTGGATTGCACACTGCTTTTGTATTCAAAGTGTAGACATGTATCTGAATCTTGATATAGATTATGTGGATTTACCTTCAAAGTTCCTGTTTTCATGGACAGGTCCAATGGGGGTCTTGATAAATGCACCCCGAGGGATCATTCCCACCGCCTTATCTATCTGATCTATTGTAGTTACAAGACGGATTTCCTCCTTGATCATGGGCTTTAAAGAAAAACAAGCAAATGTTAAATCTCAGCTTTCATTGTTTATGATCACACCTAAGAATATAAATCAGCATTGTTAAGAGCAGACATGTCAAACCCACGGGGGCAGTAGCTGTTATTCCCTTCCTCTGGATAATCCAGGCATAACTGAGATCAGAATTTGGCCATTTGAGTTCAAGCAATTGCATATTCAGTTCCTAGATAAGTGTCAGGCACAGATACGAGGCTACTGGCAAATGTTAAATAATATACTATATATTTCAGAGAGTTTGTTTGTCTGCATGTGAGCAAGCAAGTTTGTCTGTCCATCCGTCCATTTCTTCAGGAACTCCTCCTAAATGGTAAAATTTAGGACCACCAAATTTGGTATGCAATTTTCTCTTAATCATAACTTAAAGCAAGGTCAGGATTTGGTTGGGGGGGACGGGGCTGAAGCTTCTCCCTATCCATGCATATGGGGATACATAAAACCATACAGAAAAGAGAAAGAATCACCAGGCAGGTGAAAGGGCTGGTTACCCCCATCCTGGACTCCCCTGTCTGCCTGCTGAAGCTGCAGCAGCCATGGAGAAGCACTTCTCACCTGGCCCCAAGCAGCTGTGATGAGAGAGGGTTGGGGTAGTTTTCTCTCCCTGGGGAAGCCTACATACTGCTCCCCTCATCCCCAGCCCCACCCCAGAGCAATGATTTAAATGAAGAAAAACAAAAATGAATTGAGTTAAGGACCAAAGCAATACCGGGTAAATCTTGTAGTGATATATAAAAATATCTGAAATTAATCAACTAATTAATATAAATAGGAAGGAGAAATTAGGGTGTTTCTGAGCTATTTATAACTACAAGATTAGAAGAACAGGTCAATGAAAGTTGCTGCTGTTCCACGGAGACAGAAATCAGGGAATTACATGTTCATCCCAATGTGAAAAGGGATTTTCTTAGGGAGATGTGAGCTATGTTGAACCCAAGTTGAGACTGAAATACTATTATTCCTCTTCTTCTAAGGTAATAGTTCCCAAAATTTTGGGGCAGCAGTCAGCACTGCCTGCTTCTCTACAATTCCTCCCATGTAGTGGTGCCCACTCAAACATACATTGGTAATGAATGATGGGAGCCTCACAAGTGTAATACTTTGTACAGGAGCAACCTGGACTCTATTGATGGTTAAAACATTCACAGCTGGTTGGGAAGGGCAGCAAACTGGGAACCGGTATAGGTTTATTACCAGGAAGAAGCATCAAATCTAAATTTGTTCAGTTCAGGCTGGGAACAACTGGCGTTACAGGATAGTTAGAAGACAGATATAAAAAATGGCCTGTTGTACTTACACCTTCTTCTTCATATATTCTCTCATTCTCTTCTCCCTTCTTCTCAGGGGGTTCATATTCATAAGATGGATCCCCTTGGAAACGGCCCTTTAATCCCGCAGTCTGTGTGATCATTTCCTCAGTAGCTGGTGGCAGAAGGCTCCACTCCACACAGTTCAAGCTGTCAACCACATAAACACATAAGAACGGCCATACTAGGTGAGACCAAAGGTCCACTTAGCCCAGTATTCTGTCTGCCAACAGTGGCCAATACCAGATGCCCCAGAGGGAGTAAACAGAACAGGTAATCATTAAGTGATCCCTCTCCTGTCATCCCTTTCCAGCCTCTGACAAACAGAAGCTAGGGACACCATTCCTACCTATCCTGACTAATAGCCATTGATGGACCTAACCTCAATGAATTTATCTAATTCTTTTTTGAATCCTATTAAAGTCCTGCTCTTTCCACCAGCCTCTGGCAAGGAGTTCCACGGGCTGACTGTGTTTAAACCTGTTAGCTATTAATTTCATTTGGTGACCTTTAGTTCTTATGTTATGGGAACAAGTAAAGAACTTTTCCTTATTCACTTTTTCCACACCAGCCATGATTTTATAGAGCTCTATCATATTCCCCTCCTTAGTCTCCTCTTTTCCAAGATGAAAAGTCCCAGTCTTTTTAATCTGTCTTCATATGGGACCCCTTCCAAACCCCTAATCAATTTTGGTGGCCTTTTCTGAACCTTTTCCAATGCAAATATATCTTTTTTGAGATGGGGCAACCACATCTGTATGCAATATTCAAGAGGTGGACATACCATGGTTTAATTTAGAGGCAGTAAGATGTTCTCTGTCTTATTCGCTATCCCTTTTTTAATGATTCCTAACATTGTTTGCTTTTTTTTACTGTCGCTATACATTGAGAAGATGTTTTCAGAGAACTATCCACAAAGACTCCAAGATCTTTTTCTTGAGTAGTTATAGCTAAATTAGTCCTTGTTACTTGATATGTATAGTTAGGATTATTTTTTCTAAAGTGCATTAATTTGCATTTATCAACATTAAATTTCATTTGCCATTTTGTTGCTCAATCACTTAGTTATGTGAGATCATTTTGAAGCTCTTCACAGACTGCTTTGGTCTTAACTATCTTGAGCAGTTTGAAGTATCATCTGCAAACATAATAAAGGGCAAAACTTATTGAAACAGAGGGATCCTCCTTTTCAGTTGTAGTACAGCTCATTTGGAACCTTACAAGAACCATTGGTGAAACATGTGACATTCAGAGAGCCTCTCCAGGAAGAGAGGAGCCACTTGGAAGGGCTCCAAAAGGTAGAATTGACAGACATTTTTAAAGGAAGTATGGTCTTGTGGTTAAAGACCTAAGAAATCTGGATTCGATCCCAAGCTCTGCCACAGACTTCCCTGTGTGAGGCAGGGTATATCTACGCAGCAGTAAAAGACCTAAGGCAAGCCAGGATCAGCTGACTCAGGTTCACAGGATGCTGGACTATAGAATGGTAGGGTAGTGTAGATATTCTGGCTCAGGCTGGAGCCCAAGATCTGAGCTCCTGGAGCCGACCTACCCCTCCCACACACACACAGCTGTAGAGGTGGCTCCTCCCCTCCGATACTGACAGCTGCTGCCCCCCAGATGCAGGA